CCTTGGATTGTTATCAGTAAATTTTTTAGAATGAAAGTAGCTTCTTTTCTATTTTTGTAAATTAATTATCAAACTCTTGTCAAATTGCAGGAATTGAATGTGTATCTTGAATATCTTTTTAACCTTATTGTTGCTCGGGCTTCCGATATTGGTTTGGAGGTTCAGTTAAATCGATATGATCTATTTCATGGTCACCTTTTTATCACAGAAACCAGGAGGCTTGGTATATTGTGAGTTCATATATTTCACCTTTATCCCCTAAAATGGCTTAGGCAGTGTGAAAATAATGTGTAGATGAGATGTTATTCCTTTGAAAAACTGCTTTTGGGTGGCTTTTAATAAGGGTCAGATTGGAACTCTTTGAGTTTACAAGATGTGAGATCAATAGGCTGCTTCAGTTTGTGAGGAAGAAGGATTTTTTTTTTTTTTTTGGCCAAGTGAGGAAGAAAGATTGTTTAAGCAGTTTTGCTTCATTCAAAATAACATCACTTACATGTAAAAAAAAAAAAAAAACATCATTTATGTGTAATTCATAGGAAGGAAAGAAATGAGAAAAGCAAAGATAAGATTATGCTCATGACATAACAAGTGCATTGCAAGTTTGCAACTTGAATGGTGTTTCAGTGTTTGTCCTTTGTTTTCTAATTAATTCTTGACTGGGTAAATTCATTCCTAGTTATGCTCATATTAATTGATGAACAGAAACATTGTTACTAGGCAGTGTAAGGTGATATGTTTTCAACAAAACCTATCTCCCTAAACATTTTGTGTGTTCCATGGCAGGTTTCATGCTAAAGAATACCCAGCATGTGACAAAAACTTTCCCCATTGTTTGGGTCATTGCCAGATAGGTACAGTTTACCCCACAACCTTTATTTCTGTCAAAGAAGTATTTGTTTTTGGTGCTTTTTTTACTGGTAAAAGAATTATCTTAATCTCTTTTGAACATAAGTTGTTGTGTGTAGAATCATTTCAGAGGGTTTATTAGTAAAGTTCTTTTATGAAGGAAGATTGATCTAATCTCTTGTTGGGGTAACCTTTGGATAAGTAAGATTGCATTAAACAAAGGGAAAAGGACAATAAGACATCCTACTGATGTTTTATGATGAAAATGTTCTTCTAATTGACTTCTATAATTGACAATTGTTGAACTCAAGTGGTGAAATATTCTTGTGAATAGATTGACTAATTTCTATCCTATCAAAAATAAAGCATGACTAATATCTCAAGAAAGTGGCAATCATATCTGTGCTTAGGTTCCATGGGAGAAACATAATTTTGATCAAAAGCAGTTGCAGTGGATTATTTTGTCGATTGCCTTATTTGTTAGTAATTTTGCTTGTCTTTCAGGATCCAATACAATTTATGATGATTCAATGAACTTGAGAAATATTCTCTGGCTGGCTCCTTTGCCAAGCAATTTGACAAAGTGTTGGCTGGCTCCAGGTACAGTTTTTCAACTGAAGCTTGATGAATAAGTACAATAATAAAAAAAATTTGTTCTTGGTGCTTAATGATTGAGATTTTGTAGCTTACAGAAAATCAAATATAGGAGGTGAAAATTCTGCTAAATACCTTTTGTACTTTAAGATTAAGTGTCTATTAATTTCTCTGTGCTAATTGGTTTGATAGGAGTCCTAGTGGTACTAGATGCTCATCCAGAAGGAATTATATATAAACAATTAATTCCCGAGTATGCGAAACTTGTGAGGACAATCTATGAAGGTTTGGTATCCATTTGCCTTTACCATTCATTTTTGTGACTAAATGCAATTTCACACACACATCCATGCACATCTGTTTATATTTGCTTAAATTTCTATGGATTGGTGTAGTGACACCATTTATTGATGTTAACCAGATGATCTGGGTAAAGGTGTGGTTGATGTAAACTATTTGAATGTTGGTGATACAACGCCTAATTATCAAATTTTCATCTGCTAACGTTCTCCCCAAGGTAAATTGCTTTTCTTTTCCTTGATAACATGATAAATCATAAACTGGTCAAGTTTATTGTAGAGATTCCTCTCAAAAAATGCTGTCACTCATTTTATAATTATTGATTCCTTGCTCTGCCTTATTTTTGCATTTCACACCACGAGAATTGTCATCAACGTTTACCAATTTTTGATAAATTGGAGATGGGGGATTGAGCAGGAGATAAGCTTGAAGCCTGCCTGCTACACAAATTCTGATAACATCATCTATAGAGCCTCTCAAAATAGATTCAGTCTTTGATCTCAGAAAATGCATGCCTATACAATTAGACTGCTTATGTATGTTACTGATGAATGACATACACCATTCTTTGGTGCCATACTCACGCTAGTTCACTGCATAATGTATATTTCCATTGATCACTAGATAAAAATAAGCCCTTTATTTAGTAGCAGCTCCTTAGTATGCAAAGCTCATTATTTGTTTTTCTCTGCTATGTTTTGTTTCGGTTTCCATTCCTCATTATGTACTTACAAGCTAATATACATGGAGAATTAACTTAAATCCATAATCTGAAGTAAAATTGCACTAGGGAATACGTGATTCTTGTGCCATGCCATGCGCGCAGTTAAATCGATTCCTCGGGGGTTCCTGAATCAGAGCACTAATCGAGGTTTCATGCTGACATGCCTTTAAATGTACTAAAGTATCACTTTTATAACTGATGCCATCGCACAAGAGTACCAAACCGATGCCCTTTCACATGAGCTCGAGCACGGTGCTGCTGACTGCTGCCTTATGCAACCTCCTATTTAAAAAAAATTTCAGTGTAAAAATGAAATTGTGATAATTATATCTTTAATCAATAAAAAGTTGACATATGACAGGTTTTTTACGTCACATTAAAGGTTTCAAAAGTATCATATTAAAACATTTTTAAATGTGCAAAAGTATCACCTTGTTGCATATTAGACTTTTTTCTCTCTCTTTGTTTCTCAATTTTTTTAATTTTTAATTATAACAAATAATGGTTTAATCAATTTGTAATTTTTAACCAATGAAGGGTAAAAATGTATTTTAACGCCAATGAATTCTTCTGGGTTTCTTTGAAAAAATCAAATACTTGCAAGGTTAAATTGACATTGTGGAGAGGCTACATTGAGAAGTGGATATAAAGTCCAAGGCTTAAATTAAATTGTAAAAACATTTTTTTCAAAACTATTATTATTAATGAATTAATTAATTACTTTTATTAGCGATTTTATGGTTTTGGGTTGGGCCAGCAAAGAATCATTGGCCCAAAAAATGCCAGTCCGGACTCCAAAAAAGTTCCAAAACCCGATTCTTCGCGAAATTACTCCAGTGCCACCACCACCGCCACGTAGCACACTGTGTCGGCCCCATTGGAATCCTTCCCTTACGAGGGCCCACAACAGATGATAACTTGCGCACTACACTCCTTGGTGCACATTAGCACTAATCCAAGGTAAAACCCTTCCCGTTCTTCCGCCGTTCTGCTCGTTTGCTACACTCGCGCTTCTTCTCATCGGAACAAAGATCCTTTCGATTCTCCCACGCAATCTATAAAGCAAACGAAAATCCTTTTTCTTTTTTTTTTTTTGAATTTTATTCTTCATATATTCAGTATGGGGCTTCAGCGGATAGACAGAAGCGATCTATGGAAGACGAAGGCTCTGGCGCTACAGCTCCGCCTACGGGAGCGCTTCCGTGTCGGTGTGGCCGTGGACCGCCACCTAGACTGCCGCTCGGTGCTTGCTGACCGCTACTTCTCGTCAACCGTTCGTCGCTGGCTCCGTCGTTTCCGCGACTTCCGTGTTGATTCTCTTCCTTCTTCCTCCGCTTTCTACCGCAAAAGAGGTCACTCTCCACTATGATTCTCTGTGATTTTCCACGGAAATCTTGTCACATGTAACGCAGCTTCCGTGATCTAGTTGGAAATAGAAAAATATGATGATGCTAGTGATTTTATTGTTGAAATTTATGCTGATTCATATTTTTAATCATAAATGAATTTCTTTGGGTGCTGCAGTGAGTAAAGATTTTGTTGCTGAAGATGATTCGGTCATGTTTCGTATGCTTCAGGCTGTGGCTGTTCCACTAATTGGAAATGTTTGTCATGTGTTCATGAATGGTCTTAATCGTGTTCAGGTATGCTGGATAGCAATAGTAATAATGGCTTTCGCTTCTCTCTTTCTCTTGTGTTTTTAGTTTTTTGGTCTATAGCAATTGACTCCTTTGGCCTGGTTTTGGCAGGTTTACGGTCTTGAAAAATTACATGATGCGTTACTTAATAGACCAAAGGACAAGCCTCTGATAACGGTATAACATATTTCTTGATGAGTTAGCTTGCCAACAACAAATGCAATGTGCTTTTTCAGTTTGATAATAAGTTCCTCTTGTTGGTTGTAGCATATGCTGATGATGGAATGGTTTTTCCTCTTTTTTTTTTTTCTTTTTTTGGGTTTGTAGATAAGCAATCATGTTGCTTCAATGGATGATCCGTTGGTTATTGCTTCACTTCTTCCTCCAAGGGTTCTGCTTGATGCTCATAAGTTAAGATGGACACTTTGTGCAACAGACAGGTGTTTCCGCAACCCAGTGACTTCCGGGTTCTTTCGGTCTGTGAAAGTGTTGCCTGTTTCTCGTGGTGATGGGATCTATCAGCAGGTATCCTAAATTCGGTCTTTAGCTTTTCAATTCTAAATATAAATTTTGCTTTGTTTCAAATAGCTTACATGCAATATTTTTAGAAGTGCACATAGAAATATGAATGTAATTTGTAATATAAATGAGGAATTTATGTTCTGCCTCGGTTGGTTATGGAATTTAATTGTTAAAAGCAGCATGTGCGAGAAATATTATCTGAGTATTGGTTAGGTTTTCAGAATGTTATTTCTTTTATCCGGATCTAAAAAGCCTTTATCTGTATCATTTGGGTCAGTAAGGTTCAAATGCTATTTTGGGTTTAAGGAATAAGAAACAAATGATTTACAATTTGCTAATATATGTGATTTTATTTCTGCTTGCTCTGCAACATTGCTTAAAATTGCTGCAGGGCATGGACATGGCTATTTCAAAATTGAATAGGGGGGGATGGGTTCACATCTTTCCAGAAGGTAGTCGATCACGGGATGGTGGGAAAACTGTGAGGTCTCCAAAGAGAGGTGTTGGGAGGTGAGGAAATTCATTTAGTTTTTTAATTTGTGTTTGGATTCCCCTGGAGAGAGTTTCTTTTTCAATTTGAAAATGTTGGTAAACATTAAATGAGTTGGTTGTGGAGCTCCTCTTTCCATCAGATGTAAAAGACAAGCTTCTCTAAATTTCCATCTATCTATTCTGTGAATAACACTTTTCTCGTATCATATGCTCCTTGCCTATTATTTTTTCATTCTTGTAGACAAAATATATGTAACATTATTGTTTTGGTGCAGGTTGGTCCTTGATACAGACAATACACCTATGGTCCTTCCTTTTGTACATACCGGAATGCAAGATGTGATGCCAATAGGAGCCAATTTCCCAAGAATTGGCAAGACGGTATGTAGTCTATCCACTCTTCCTGATTCTATAGTTAAGACATCCCAATCAAGTTCAGCGTGTCATAAAAATGGTATCATGATAACATTTCCCCTTTCTCATTGTCCTTTCCTCTCACTTGCCTTCTCTGGACTGGGAACACTTTCTTTTGTGTTGAGTTATGCTTAAAACTAGATGTTGGTTTAAACTATTGTAGGTAACTGTCCTAGTTGGTGACCCTATAGATTTTGATGACCTGCTAAATGAGGAAGTCAGTAAGGATGTATCAAGGGGAAAACTATATGATGCTGTAGCCTTAAGAATTGGCAAGCGCCTGCATGAGCTAAAGGTCCAAGTTGATAGATTAGCACTCGAACAGTCTGCCCAGTTGCAAAATCATCTTGTACAGGGTGCAGAAAAGGCAGCTTATATATTGCATCAGGTTGACTGGGACTCTTTTGGCTTAGGAAGCCATGATATGGAAGTTGATTCCATGCAACGAGGACCCTCACCTCAACCAAACACCAAGGTTCCCCACCAAGAGGTGTCTGCTTCTGATCGGTATTTCAGAATGGAATTTTCCTCCTTTGAATGTGGATTGGCGTCAAGAATGCGAAGTTACATGGACCCAACTGAACTAATGGGTTTTGCAGCTCGAGGTCTGTATACAAACTACAGATCTAGGAACGCTAGTGTTAGCAATGCAAGCCCATTGAGGGTATGGAAACAGTTTTTGGAAGATAATTTGTTACGACACTGGAATACCTGCTAGTAATATGAGACTGTTTCCATAAAAAAAATATGTATATATGAGAGACTGTGTAAACAAAATTTTATGAGTATTATTATGAGAAAGCTATTTTTTTGTTTTCTTGTCTGTTAAAATGATGAATGGGGAACAATCTTAGGATTGAATTGTTGATGTCATATGGAGAATATAGAAATTTCATATTTTAAATTGAGAATGAAAAACAAAACATCTACTTCCGTTGCCGGGAATCGAACCCGGGTCTCCTGGGTGAAAGCCAGATATCCTAACCGCTGGACGACAACGGACCTATTGGATTAACGTGTCCTAGAGAAAGATTTTTACAAATTAAAAATGAAGTTCATTTCTTCAGTTCCATAATCAGCTTGCACTGTTGGCTTTTGGTTCCTGAGATGCCCAAGGAAAATAATAATAGGAAGATTAACAAGTCAGACGCATCTAAGAGTGTCCCAATATTGGGAGAAGAGTCTCAACAAATGTCATATGATATTTGCCCATATTATTTTATTCGATTTTAGTTGAGACCCTTCAACACTCCAATAATGTTGACACCAAAGTGAGATTCGTTGCATTAACATTATTTACTAATTAACACATATTATGATCGATCACCGGTTGGTTCAAATGGAATGGGTTTAATTTTTTAAAATAAAAACTTTAAATTACATTTCTAATTAAAAAATGAGACAATTAAAATTAAACTAGCAAGTATTAACCACCATTATTTACACCATTATGGTTAAAATGAAAATGATTAGAGAAGATCTCGTTAGTCACTACTCACTACAATACAAAATGATCCATCCTAACAAGATATTATGATAAGAGTTACTTGGCTCATTAGGTGCAATAAAAAATATATTATTTAAATCATAAAATTTAAAAACTTATATATTAATTAAAATCTAAAAATTTAATAACAAACTGAATTTATTTTAAAAACTTAACAAATAGCTTTCTCAGGGGGATATGACTATAAGAGTCATGTGACAGAGAGAGACTGAGAGTGAGAGAGACGCGTCTCTTTTTCTTTTTTTTTTTTCAATGAAAATAAGTAATGGAAGAGAGAGACGCGTCTTTGCCCCCGCACATTCGGATAAGACATAAGAGATGATGGGATGGAATACTACCGAGTGACGTGATAATCGTGCGTCTCAATTAAATTAATGAATTTATTAGATTTAAA